GTCTGTGGGTCAGGATCGTCTGAGGAGGAAGCAGATGAATGGAGTTGCGCACGGGAACTTTTATTTAAGTCTGATTCTGACGGTAAATTAAATATCTGACAGTGATCATTACACAGTGTGGCTCTAATTCTNACGTGGAACAAATTATTTTATTGACTGTGGGAAAAAAATTATGTACTTGTTTCTTATGTTACATAACTGATATTTTGTATCTATTAGAGTTAGTAGGTATGATTAGCACAAGGGGCAAGACTTAATTTTTACTGGTGAAGTTTCTGTGAAAAAATGGTAAAGAAGTTAAACTAGTTTGATTAGATCTGTATGAAGTAAACTTGTGAGATTTAGAATCATAATCCAGTGTTTAGTATCATTGGTGAGTAATTGTTTAAATGAAGAATTTGACCTTATGTTGTTTTTTCTTTTTAGAGTGCAAGAACCACAACATTGAAAAAGTGCATTTATCCTCCTTGAATAAATGCTCAGTGTGCCATGGACCATGTTCCCCACTAAAGTGGTGGGGACTACGTTGTACAGGTTAGTTCCTATTTTTTAAATTGTTTTCAGACACTGCAGAACAAAAAACCTAAGCCTGTCGGTGTCTTTTATTGAAACCTTAATCAGAATAAGCTTTTTTAAAAGGTAAGAAAATTATGACTTAACGTATTAGTAAAATAAAGTTTGGAGTCAGGGCTCTAGACTAACTTTTTGCACTGGTTGTACCGGTGGCCTAACTTTTCCTTAGGTGCACCAGCACAAAAGTTAGGTACACCTAAATTTGCAAACGCATCGCATTTAACATCGAAGTTTTACAGGTTTGCTTTTTAATATCATTGTCCATTAAGACAAAATTAACTCAATTATTTTACAATCTAGCAAAAATAAAGTTCTATATTTGAACCAGAATTGTAGACCTATAACTTACTGAAAAGTATTTAAAGTGATTCAATGACCTGATAAAGAAAATGAAAAAAAAATCTAAATTTTAAGTGCAAATGTTTAAGAGCTGAACATCTTATCAACATCTTAAACATTTCATGGTTAAATGTATTTAAGACTACACATGTTTCTCAGATGGACAACTCATGCCTTCAGGATCTTGGGCCAAACCTGATGAACAGAGAATTATGATTAACAGCAGAAATATTACTAATATTTATTAAATGAGAAAAAGCTTTCTAAAATAATGAAAATAACACAACGTGAAAGTCTTAAATTTAGTTTGTATTAGTTGAATTTTATGTATCTCGTTTAAAAACTAAGCTGTGTAGTCATAAAACCATTTTCAGAACCTGGAATGTAACTGTGGTGAAGCCAATTATATGTAACAGCGGCTTGCCATACAGGTGAGCTTAGTCATGCTGCTGGAATGATCTGCTGCTGCTGCGCTCCCAGAGCAGAGAGCCCGATGAACTTTGCTACAGAGACTTAAGAGCAAGCAACCATCCACATATCATTTACACAGTTAACAACAAAAGAAAAGTTTTTCCGACTCTGGGTTGAAAAAAAACCTGTTGATTCACTGCGCACCAGAGCGTGTGTGCGCGTGCATGTTTTTGCTTCACGGAGGGGAAGGAAAGTCCTCACGAGGATAGAAGAACAAGCGTGTGTATGTGCGCACGCAGTTGTAGAGCGGAGCGCTGTGTTGTGTATGTGCGCACGCAGTGTGTAGAGCGGAGCGTTGTGTTCATACTGCTAGATAGCGTTTTACGGGACATTGAGACTTTTTGCTTCAACTGGCAACTTAGAAACGGGTGATTTGTTTTATTTGTCTTCCTCATTGATTGAACTCCAATAAGCAGAGTTCCATTTGGTAAGTTTTCCCAGCAGTGGAAGCTGCAGAAACGTGTGTGTGCGGGCTTCAGATGGTGTTTTTGTTTTACACATCAACCCATAACCAATGTGATTTGAAGAACTGACTTTTCATTGGTCTCTTCACCCCATGACAGGCATACAAGAACATCAGAAATCCTCATGACAAGGAGGAAACACATAAGGCCTCACCCCAACCAGAATGGTGGGCAAGAAGATCCTCCATCCGCAGAAAGAAACTTCCTGRCCAGACAAGAGAAAAGGAGGATGAAGAAAGTTCAACAGACAGTGACAGTCCTGCAGCTGGACCTCCAACATATAACACCATGAAACACTACAACAGCATAGAGGACTCTGACAACTCCTCAGGTAGGTACTGCAAGTCTGCCATGGAGTCGTGGTGATTTAGTTTACATGTGTCTTTGCTTTAGTAAAATCAATCTACTGCAGTTCCTGTAATCTCCAGGTGTTGACACTAACCAATGAACTGTGGGTTGTTCTTTAACAGATGTGGTGGATATCACAGAAGAGTCCATAATATTTTCAAACAAAGACAATGTGGCAAATGGTAAGACATTTGTAAATTTCTTAAGTAGCATTAATGTTAATTTGATTAACTATTTACAGATGATCATTTTCATCGTGTACTTGATGATCCTTCTTATATACCCCATCTTACATTTAGGTCCATATATACAGTATATTTGGACACTGACACAAATGTTGTATTTTTACCTCTTAACTGAAACATATTCAAGTTATAGTTATATAATGTACATGGACATGAAGTCCAGACATTCAGCTTTCATTTGAAGGTATCTACATTAAAATTGGATGAAGGGTTTAGGAGTTTCAGCTCCTTAACATGTACCACCCTGTTTTTAAAGGGACCAAAAGTAATTGGACAATTGACTCCAAGGTTATTTCATGGACAGATGTGGGCAATCCCTTCATTGTGTCATTCTCAATGAAGCAGATAAAAGGCCTGGAGTTGATTTGAGGTGTGCTGCTTGCATTTGGAAAGTTTTGCTGTTAAGTAAACATGTGGTCAAAGGAGCTCTCCATGCAGGTGAAACAAGCCATCCTTAAGCTGCAAAAACAGAAAAAAAACATCTGAGAAATTGCTACAATATTAGGAGTGATAAAATGTACAGTTTGGTACATCCTGAGAAAGCAAGCAAGCAATCAAGCAATCAAGCCCCTCATATGCAAAAAGACCAGGGGCCTCATATGCAGAAAGACCAGGGGCCTCATGTATAAAC